TTAACGAAAAGATTGGCGAGACTACCATCTGGCGAGAGGGCGGAGTTACATCCCCAATGTCAAAGCTCTCTCGCAAAATGGCCCATCCCCATCCATCTCAAAGCACTAGGTGGGGGTGCCCCTGTGACGAACGCTCCGCACCCTGAGCATGAGTGCGGGCGAAGCAGAGCCAACTGGGACTCGCAGTGGGGTCGACTCAGGCTCGAAAGTCTAACAGGGTACGGCCCTACACCGGACTCAAGCTGAGTTTGGGGATTCAGTTTTTGGCCTCAGTGCTTGTGCTTCCGTGTCGAGTCCGTGTCGAGTTGAGTGTTGTATGTGTGTGTGCTCTCACTCCCTCCCTCTCTCTTCCCCGACCTCGCTGCTGTGCCTCAGCCCCGTCACAGGTCGGTAGACCGCCGACCGGTCGGCCCTACTGGTCGGCTGCAATACGGTCGGCGGTCGGGGTCGACGGTCGGCAGGGATGCAACAATGCTCACCTGGTCTTCCGGGAATCAGTAGTGGTCTCAGTTCTGCCAAGGAACTCTTGTGGGATGGCCTGTTGTATTGGCACACAAGGCAAATTCTCACGTACGTTAGTGTGTCATTCTTCATTCCTTGCCAAACAAAATGCTCTAGGACATTGGCGAAAGTCTTTTTAAACCCGAAGTGTCCTTCAATATCATGGCACTCACCAAGAATTAGAGTCCTTACAAGTTCATTAAAAGGGTCTCGCCCAGTTCGCAGGACAGTTGCAGATCCCAGGGCTCGATCCCTAGACCTACCCCGTACCCCGTGTACAGTTACCCGTCACCGTTGTGGGTTTCGAACCCATGACGTGTCCCCAAAGACATATGCTTTTGTGTGTTGTGTGCCCAGGCAGGTTCAGTGGACTTGAACCGTAGACTTTAGCATTAACAGTCCTAGGGTCAGTCCTGTAGGTTAGCCCCAAGGGTAGCGAAGGGTCAGTCAAACGTAGACTAGGAGTTTCGAGAAGTCTCTACTTGGCTCGTCGAAGTTGTAGAAGTCAGTTGACTGTAGCTGAGTCAACAAAGTACAGTTTAGTCCTAGTCTAGTCAACAGCGCCAGTCCCAGTCCCAGTCCACCCTGTCCAGTCAGCAAGTACCAAGTGGGACTGCACATCCTACGGGCCTGGGACATCGGGCACGCCTGGACCACTAACAAAACAGTATAAATAAAGAGGCAGCGACCAGCCATGCATCCATTCGTCTGCGAGCTGCGCGGAAGCGCTGTCCAAGTGACTTGTGCTTTGAGGATCGCCGGTGGTAAGCCAATGCCCGTAGGTGGAAGAGGGTGAGCGGCCATAGCCGCTAGCAGGAGGGAGGCGACGGCGGCCATTGTCGTCATTGTAGGAGATATGATATATGTGTATGTGCGCATGTGGACATTCAGGGTAGATCCTAGTACATGTGTACATGTGTGTGAGTGAGTGGAGTGAGTTTGATGGTGGATACAGTGTGTAGGTCGGAATTTTAGACTGGCGCTCAGACGCCATAGCCACAAGATGTGACAAGGTGACTTGAGCTGAGTCCCTGGCTGACAGCCATAACTCTGAGTTTGTTGTATGGCCCAGAGGAATTTCAGACTGGCGCTCAGACGCCATAGCCACAAGATGTGACAAGTTGACCTGAGTTGAGTCCCTAGCTGGCAGCCATAACTCTATGACTTTTCTATGTGGGCGCCCTGCGCCACCTCAGTCTTGTTGCTGATCCTACTTCGAGGAAGTTGCTCTGCCATCGGCACCTGCATGTATGCATGTTGAAAGTCAAGTTGAAGTCAAGTCTGATTGCATTGGTATCGGGGTTGGTTCCCGTTGTCTGCACCACCATCGCGCGTCGGCCATCGTGATCGAGAAGACCACAACAACAAAGGAGGCCGCCAACGCGAAGAAGAAAGCGACGAGGAGAGAGATAAAGAGAGAGAAATGCGCGTGGAGGAGTGAAGTCTGCCATAGCGGACGACGGTCAAAGCCGCCAAGCTCGAAGGAAGGAGAAGACCGGTGAGAGGAACTGGAGGTGACGAGAGAGAGAGAGAGAGAGAGAGAGAGAGAGAGAGAGAGAGAGAGAGATGACAAAGGGGAAGACGAAGGGGAAGAAAGCAGCCATAGCCAGGTCGTTAGAGGGTCGACAACAGCGTTGACCGACCTTGACCGAAGGTTGACCAAGGGTTGACCAGGGTGGTCAGAGCGTTGACCGACGAGCGTTGACTGGCGCCATTGACCAAGTTGGAGTGCGGAGCGAGGAGCGGTATAATCCCTTCAAGCGCTAGCCCTTGTCCTTTTATGCCTTGTGGATGTGTACACTCACCTGGTACTTGATACTATAGAGTCTGTCATCTTTTTCTGCATTGAGTCACTCTGTCCAGGTCGATAGGTTCCATGCATGTTGTCTAATAGAGGCTGAGGGGCCGATATCTGCACGGGAGTTAGTAGGGGTGAGGTGCATCTGACGCTGGACGACCGGGGAAACACCCCAAGGACAGGTATAGACCGGCAGGTTGC